GGACAGACCTGCCTTGCGCTGCAAACGCGGGGCTCTCCTATATACAGCACCTATGCGTGTATATGGGTGCACGACCCGGATGGCTGAGCTTAAATGCGTGTTGCCGTGAGAGCATCCCCACCACCATTGTGTATTACAGTGATTCCACAAAGTATTTTAAACTGTTGGTTAAATGACTGTATTGTCTGTTAGGTTAAAGAACGGAAGTGGGTGGGAATTGGAGTTTTCTAAGTGTGAACGTAAGCTTTTGTGTATATGAATCGATGTTTATTTAGGTCCCAGGGCGGCGTGATAGTAAATAAAAGGAAAAGTAACTTCAATGTTTAAGGCAAGAGGTTTAGGCACGGCTGTGCCTGTAGACTGGTTCTAGAAATCTCGTGGTGGGGCTAGTTGCTTTCCACCCAAAAATCGTAATAGAAAAGAAACATCTTTATAATTGACATTTGACATGCTGTTTGGGTTAGGCTGTGGTAGAGCAAGCACAGATTTCCCTCTGATGGAAACATTTATCATCGTGATTGCTGTGGAGTGGCAGGTGGTGTTATCAATTACCTCTTCTTATCAATAATAATATTAGTATGGTGATATATTTGCTCATGTGAGAACGAATTAGCGGTCAATTGTTGCAGCTTGAAACAGACAAAATTGTGCTGGCTTTAACCCCAGGCTCCTCAAACAAAAGTTGTGGTGGAGAAAGGGGGGGGGGTGGGGGGGTGGGGTGGGGAAGATGATACTTCAGCTTGCCAGGAAGAGTAGGAGATGCTAGAAAATAAAGCCCAAAGAATTGCACGTCCCTTCGAATAAAGTTGCTGAGCAAAATCATAACTATAAAAAGACGGTAGATGGGTTGCCCGGAACGCCAGATCCATCTTAGCTGCATGTTGGTAACTTTGATGGGTTTGAGGACAACAACCTTGTGTAAAGCGTAAGTGGAGACAGAACTACTTCCACGCTCTTGGTAGATGAGCTTTCTGCAGGTTTTTATTAACCTTGAATAAGGACAAAAATTTAAGCAAACGCGTACCTAGGTGTCCCAATAATGTAAAGAATAAAGTACGAGTTGGTAAATAATATTATTAAGCCGGCAGAATAATAACGTGTCACTTCTGACCATGAAAGCAACAGCGCGGAAGAAGAAGACAATTAACAAATTAGATTTAATTACGGAGGGAAAACCAACTTTTGCTTCCCATCACCAGGGAAGTATTTCAGTGGCCCCACCAGCTACGGCGGGGGGACGCGATTTGCGCCGGGACACGCGTGACCGCCGGCCGCGCAGCTGCCGCGCACACCTGCGCGGTCCCGCGGCCCCCCGCTCCTCTGCGCGCACTTGCTGGGGTGGGTGCGCAGAGATTTACGCGGTAAGCCATCACCCCCCCCACACACACACGCTCCCCCCTCCCCGCACCTTAGCGACCGCGATTTTCGCAGCCCAGCCTCAGCGATCGCACCATTTATTTTATTTTATTTTTTGTTGTTTGTTTGTTTTCCTTCCGCTCTCGAGTCAGGAAGATTCATTAAAAGGTCCGTGGAAAACTTTGCGGTGTAATGAGGACCCCGGCGGGGGGGGGGGGGGGGCGGGGAGGGGGGGGAAGGGGCCGCGTATCACTTCATAACTTTCCACTCGCCTCCCGAGCCCACGGCACTGTCGGGGTTTTCCACGCAGCTCGGGTAAAAAGTTTTCCCCGGTGATTTGCGCCGGTGCCGGGGTTCCGCGGTGGGGGGTGGGGGGCTTGGGGGGGATTTTTTTTTTTTTTTTGAGAGTGAGCAGCGGCCCCGGAATCTGGCTCAGCGACCCCCGCGCATCGCGGCGGGTTTTTTCTCCGAGGGGAAAAAAGTGGGAAGGCGAGCGGCGTAAGGGAAAAGAAAACCATAAAATGTATCACTTGTAACCCTAGAATATGTTAATGTCAAGAGATACAAATCTGGTAATTATGCCTTTCTTGCCTGTCGTGTTCTCCATTGTTCATTAAACATTAAAGACGGGATTATTTAATTTTCCACTTAAAGATTCTCTCACATTCCGCAAAATCATATTAATTTTCAAGCGTTTTGCTTCTCACAAAGTTTAGGGTTTATAACGCTCTCACTGAGCTGCCTTTTCTATTTCTTTCTTCCACACCGCGCTATAAGAAAAGCACTTTTAAACCGCTCTTCAAGAAATCGTCTGCTGCTGGGGGAGCTCCCAGGCACTGAGAAAACGCCAAAGTTTAGGGGAAAAAAAAAAAAATGTTGCCCGAGCAACAGCAAGAAATCCTTTCAAAAGATGACTGGAGAAAAAATGACACGTTTCTGGTAGTGCAGCAATTAGGGGGGAAAAAAAATGGGTGAGGTTAAAGTGCGTTCTCGTTCCAGGGAAATGTTTCGGTCGCAGAGGGTAACTGAGCCCCTAAACCTCAAACCAGTCGGAGAGATGGACCTCGCTGGTTTTGAAGCAGAAGCCCTAACTCCAGCTCCCCACTCGTGGCCGCGGGTTTACCCGAACGCCCACGGACGCCCGCTTCCACCTGCACCCTGCCGACAACATAACGCAGCAGATACACTCGCGAGTAATGTGGTTTTTGGGTGCGCTGGGTGCAATAAATCCTTAGTTCTGACGGGGAAAAAAAAAAAAAAAAAAAAAAAAAAAGCAACAGAAAAAAAAAAAAAAAGAAAAAAACACCAAAACCCAAACACGCTCAATTAGTGGGCTCATCCCCTCCCACTTCATATTAGAAAATTACAACAGATTTCAGCCGTCACGATCGTCTCCAGCTATTTTCAGCGAGACACTCTCAGTGCTACCAAACTTTCAGCCAGGCTGGAGGCATGGAGAGAAGATGCATTCGAATTTATAGGCAGTAAACAAGTTTTGTCATTAGAAAGCGGGCAAGCATTTGCGAGGGGGGCTCGTGCACACACCTCGCTAAACGAAGGACAGAAAAATGTACCCATCTGCCCTCGAAAAGGCAGTGATTTGGGTTTCGGGGTTGTTTCCCTCAAGGGTCGCGCCCGTTTCCAAACGAATTCCTGCAGCACCAGTGGCATGCATGTCACCAAACTATCCGGAGTGGCCTAAACTGTCGCCCCGAACTTTTCTTTGGTTCGCCTACCCGCAGAAAAGCGGGGAATAAACCCGAAACCCAGAGACCCGCTATCGCAACGCCCGAGATAACGCCAGCTATCAGCGGGGAAAGTTAAGGAATAGCGCTGGATTCCGCGGGTTGGGGCGGGGGGGGGGGGGGGGGGGATTAGGAGGAAATCCCTTTCCTTGATCCGCGGCCCCTTCCGCGGGGCTGCCCGCGCCCTTCCCGCGCCGGGGGCTGCGCCTCCGCGCCCACCCCCCCCCTAGGGCCGCTCCGTCGGTGGGGGGGGAGTGGGGGGGGGGGGGGGGCAGCGCGCAGGGTCCGGTTAAAAAAAATAATAATGATTAAAAAAAAAAAAAAAAAAAAGCAGCGGAGGGGGTTGGGAGGAGCCCCGCACCCCAAAAGCAGACAGGCAGCGAGGTGCGCGGAGCTGCGCGGGCCGCTGCGCGGTGCGGGTACATCCTAGCGGCGGTTCCCCGCCATGGGAGCCGCGCTCCCCCCCCCCCCCCCCGCGGAGGGGGAGGCGGGCAGGGCCGGGGCCGCGCAGCGCAGCGCGGCGGAGAGGGGCCGCCCGCCTCTGCGGGGGGGGGGGGGGGGGGGGGTCGGGGCGGCGGGACAGGGCGGGGGAGGCTCGGCCCCGGCTCCCCGGCAACTTGTAATGCGATAGAGGGGAGAGCGGTGGGGGCGGGTGGGGAGGAAAGCGGGGGGGGGGGGGGGGAGATGAGGGAAGTCTCTCCCTCCCCACCCCCCTCCCCCCCCCCCCCCCCCCCGCAGTTTTACAAAAAAAGGGGGGGGCCGGAGAGAAAAAGCCGCTGTTGGGAAAGTGCGTGCGGAGAGGGAGGCTCGGAGGCGGCGGGGAGCGGAGCGGGCTGCGGGGCAGGGGCAGCCCCGGCAGCGCGGCCCGGGAGGCGGAGGAGGAGGAGGAGAGTAGGAGGAGCCGCCGCCTGACCCGCACCGCTCCCAAACTTGAAAGTTTATCCGCCCGAAATCGAGAAGCGCGCAAGCCCGCTCCGCGGCGGCGGAGCGAAGCGGAAGGCAGCGAGCGGGGGAACCGCCGCCGCACAGCCGGCGCCGCTGCGAGGCAGGCAAGGCAAAGGGGAGGGGGGGGCTCGCCCCGGCGACAGCGACAGCCAACCCACCCACCCACCCCCCCCCCCCCCGCCCCAAATCTGGGAGAGGATCGATACTATTTGCTGGAGACCACGGACTTGCTCATCGGCGCACACGCGAGACCGCTGTCATTAGCTAACAGGACACACGACTGAGCCGGGGGGGGGGGGGGAACCGGGGGGGGAGGAGAGTGAGGAGTGTCACAAAAAGTCACTCCGACCTGAGAGAGAGGGAGAAAGGAGAAAAAAAAAAAAAAAAAAACAACCAAACAAACAAACAAGCAAAAAAAAAAAAAAAAAGCCAACAAAAAAAACTTCCTACCAATGGACAACAGGAAGTGACCACCACCACCAACGGGGAGTCTCTGCTTGGAGAAAGAAGCTGCAAGACAAAGAAAGAAGGAAGGAGAGGTGAAAGAGAAAACTGCCCAAGGTCTTCTGCGGGTGCGTGCGCTTTGGAGAGAGGGGAGAACAAAAGTCAGCCGGGGAGACAGAGAAAGAGCGACGGAAAAGGAGGCAGGATGGAGGAAGAGCTAAAGACAAGCATGTGAAGATCAAGGGGAAAGGAGAGCGGAGCAGCACGCGCGCACACCGAAAAGAAAGGGAAAAATAAAAATAAAAAAACCCCACCCACCACACACCAAAGTTTCTTTTCCTCCTGGGAAGAAATTACTCACACGCGCACAGAAATCAGATGCCTCGCAGATCAACTTCTGGGGCAAGCAAGACCAAGAGAGAAGAGGACGCAGAGTGATGTGAAGAGAGAGAGAAAGAAAGAAAGACAGAAAGAAAGAAGAAAGAAAGAAAGAAGAAAGAAAGAAAAAAAACCAACAACAACAAAAAAAAAAACAGAGCAGAAGGAAGCAGAGCAAAAAGAAACTGAGAGCCGAGGAAAGGGGGGGAGAAAGAAGGACAGAAAAGCGAAGATCGTGACCTCCCCCACCAAGTGAACCTTGCACATATGTTGTGTAAAGTGTGTGCAAAGCAGAGCCCTGCTGCGCGGTGCGCGCGCGTTCCGCGGCCGGTGCCTGTGGCGGGCGGCGCGGCGTTCGGCGGAGCGAAGCGGCTAATTGCGGAGCCCCGGCCTTCATTTACATATGCAGCCTGAGCCGGCTGGAGCCGCGCCAATCCGCGCTCGCCCCCAGCACCATTAAGCGCCATGCATTATTCACAATCATAATTACCGAGCCCCATGCGCGCTCCGCGCAGCCGCCCCAGCCCGCCGCGCACACCCCGCCGCTCCGCGCACACCCCGCCCGGCTAATCCCCACTCGCTCCCCCACTCACTCCCAGTTTGGTTGGCTGGTTAACGTTGCTTTTTTTTGTTTGTTTGTTTGATTTTTTTTTTTCCCCTTTCCCCCCCCCCTTTCTTTTTTTTTTTTTTTTTTTTTTGGTTGCTCGCATTTTCTGCTGTTGTTTGCTTGGTTTGTTTTGCAACTCGACTTTTATTTGCGAACAGTTATTTCCAGCCCCCCACCCCGCTTCCCTCGTTCCCAATTCCTCCCCCCCTCCACCACCAACCCCCCTTTCCACCTCCACGTCGCTGATGCCTCTGCAAAAAGCAGAGTCAAGACGGCTCAGTTAGCAGCATGTCTCGTCGAAAGCAAGCGAAACCCCAGCATCTCAAATCGGACGAAGAGCTGCAAGCGGAGGTAGTTTCTGAGCACGGTAAGGGCTCCCGGCTCTTTCTCCTCTCTCTCCTTTTGTGAGCGTGTTTCGGATGGAGATAGGTGGATTTATGGTGATGGTGAACATGGGAGCGCAATTACTCTGCAGCGGGAGAATGGGAATTAGAGCAGCTGGGGGAAGAGGCAGCGGAACTGAGAAGTTCGCAGTTTAGCCAAGTTTCTGCAGCCCACCCCCTAGCCCTCCCCAGTCCTCCCCGGTGCTTTTATCGCGGCGGGGCTCGGCCCTCCCTCCCCGCTCACCCGGGCTCGGCAGCTGCGGGAACGGGCGCCCCGGAGCAGCGCCTGCTTCCTCTTCCTCCTCCTCCTCCTCCTCCCCTCCGCCGCTCTCCCTCTCTCTAGATTTTTGGGGACCCCTTTTTTCTCTCCCCCCCCCCCCCCCCCCCCGGTGGGAACTAGGAGCGGCCAGGAGCCATGTTCCCCTCGCAGGAAAGTTGGGGCGGCCGGAGCCGGGCTGCGGGCACCGGGGGGGGGGGGCAAAGGGGGGTCCCGCGGGTCGGAGGCTGGGGGGGATCCCCCACCCCCCCCCACCCCCCGCGTCGCTTTTCTGGGCAGCCCGCTTGGGTTTTGGGCTGCCCCAGCCGCTGCCCTCCCCCCTCCCCACACCCTCCCAGTTTGCCCCAGCAGCCGCCGGAGGAGCTGGGGGGGGGGGGGGGGGGGACACGACGGCGACACCCCGGGAGGAGAGGGGGCAGCGGAGTGGGGTTCATTATTTTGCGAGAAAAGCAGCAGCTTTTCACCTCCACCACCACCACCCCCCCCCCCCGCGTTGCCTCCCCCCTTTCGCCTCCCGGCGCTGTCGCGACTATACTGTCGGGGTAGGTGACACGGCGTGCCCCCACCGCCAGCAGCCCCTGTCGCGCCGGCTGCAGGCAGTGGGGAAGGGGAAGGGTTATTTTCTCGCCCACCCCCCATTCTTTGCGCCCCCCCCCCGCAGGCACCCGCACCACACTTGCTTTTATGCATCTGAGCTGCCCAGGCTGCTAGCGAACAAGTGTCCAAAACTGGAAAGCTTTGGGCTGTAATCCCTCCTCATTTCCACTTTGCTGTAATTTTTTCGAGAAAAGGGCTGACGGGGGCTTTTTTTTTTTTTTTTTTTTTTTTTTTTTTTTTTTTTAAAGTTTTAATTTCCTTAGTAGTCCTTGGCATTGCAGCGTGCAAAGTCATGCCACAGCCCATGCTCGCTTTTCCTGGGCTAAGTTGAGAGCTCCCACTCGAAAGTTTTTCTTTTCCTCTTTGCACAGGGCCCACTGCTTGCTTAGTTTCTCGCATAACCAAGTGGGAGCCCCAATGTGTTCTGCTTTCTGTGTAGGCCCCTTGCTCCACTGTTTTATCCCTCCCCCCTCCCTCCCTTCGAAAAGGGAAAAAAAAAAAAAAAAAAAAGGTAACTCTCCTGCTTGGAAACTAGAATGACTTTTAAGTTGCATTTGAGGGGAGAGAAAGGCAGCAAAGTTGAAGCCTGAGGAGGATTTTGACTATTGCAGCTGAACTTTACGGCTTAAGGCAGCGTGAATCCACTCCATCAGGTTAAAACATCTGTCAGACTGGCAAATCGTTAAGCCTCCTGCTCCTTCCCAGGGTGTTTGGGGGGCCAGGGAGCGAGCCCCACACTGGCCAGGGCTGCTGAGGGGGCTCCTGCCCCAGCAAAAGCCACTTGGCTGCTGACAATAACAGGCGCACCGAGAAATGCCTCCTTCTGTCACAGCGGAGGAGCAAAGCCGGGTCTTTCCCAAATTTGAGTTTTTTTTTTTGTTTGTTTTGTTTTTGTTTTTTTTTTTTTTTTTTTGGTTTTGTTTTTTTTTTTCTTAGGAAACAGCGGCCGTGTGAAAGAAATTAGTAGAGGCAAGCAGATGAGAATTAGTATTTCATTATGTAAACAAGATTTGCTGAGCCCAGTCTCTGCTTGGGTGGGTTCTAGGTCTGAGAATGTATCACTAGCATGATAAACTTTTCCGCGCTCTGCAGCCATTTCCATACAGAAAAATAAAACCCTGCTACTTCATTATGACACTCCTGGCGAGTTCATAAATTTAAAAAAATTGTTAAACTAGGTTTTTGTTTTGTTTTGTGAATCTTATCTATGTAGCCATGTCACCCGAGATTAGAACAAGAGATATGCTAAAAAGAAACGCTTGCATATGGTGGGTAGATTAAGGACAAAGAATCTTTTTGTCATGGAAATGGTTTTTTTCCCCCCTTTTTTGGGGGGTTTTGTTTTGTTTACTTCATCACATAGAATTTCTCACACTTGGTTTGTTTTGTATTGCCCTCAATGACTACATGATCAAATGAATGGATTTATTTCTGCCGAATGAGAAAGACAGTCTTTCCATCAAAAGGACTACATTGCATCCCAGTGAGGAATTTTAAAGCGTTATTATTGTGGTCCCTGAATAGCACAAAATCGGCTTTCACAACAGCCCTAAAATGCAACAATGTAAATACTTTTCAGCCTTAGAAGGCTGTTATCAAAATGTGCTGTTTCCTTTTATTAAAACATATTTTAATTAATAGAGTGAAACCCTTCATAGTTAACAATTAACAAGCTGAAGTAGTGCTGCTGGGTTTGCACTTTCATTTGAGAAATGTGAGCAAGGTGGGGACAGGATAGACGGGCAGAGGGCTATCTAGTGCACATTAGTGTAATGTAAATCATTTACGTGTTATATTAGGAAGCCTAACGATTGCTATAGTGAAAGCAGTTTTCTAGGCCAGATAGACTGAGCGCTCCCCATCTCGTGAATTAAAACACTTCTTGTCAAGTCAGTGTTCTTCATTTCTCTTCACAGCTGTAATCAAGATATTGCTACAGTTCCTGAGCGTATTTTGCAACAGGCCAAAAATAGTTTGCACAGTGCAAGAATATTTGCCGTTTTTAGAAAGCAAACTGTTTAAGCAGTATTATTTGATGTATGTAGCCTTTTCACTAATTTGGCTGTTTATCTTCAAGGGGGGAAGTTGTTGTTAACACAAGATTAAGCAAATGAAGCTTATTATTTATTTAATGAGTTCCTGTTTAATGTCACCCTAAAATAGGTTTTATTAAGTGAAGCATTTGAAAATGAATGTCCCATAAACGTAATCCGTGGGGTGAAGGGACATTCATAGCAGCAGAGAGAAGCCTGGCAGTTTGAGGAGCAGAATGGAAGATAAACATGAGGCCGGATTTTAAGTTGATGGGTCTCGCCATAACTTTTGTGCTAATGTTACCACGGAAGTTTTAGAATCAGAACAAATAAATTTACAGCCAGCTTGGGCTACAGCATCACACAACTGCATTCAAGCAGGGCAGTGTCATGATGGTGAGAAACTGTGGGAAATGTGAAGATAATTAGCAATGTCATCAACTACAGATTTACACTCAAAATCGTTTGAAATTATTTGTGGAAAGTGAAGTGCTAAAAATATATTTTTTAATAATCTTGAAAGAAAGTGTTAACAAACAGCTGGCGATGATGTATTACTTGAATAATGGCACTGTAGAAGAGTGAACAATAGATACCAATTAAAAAAACCACTTTGAGGTTACTAAATTAGAAGATATGATGGAAATCATTTAAAAAGAGCAGCAGAAGGACTCAGATGACTGCCTGTAGAATACAATAATCTGAATTTCTCAGTGAATGTAAAGCTTTGTAATAGCTGGAATTACATTTCTAATACACTTGCCTAATTCAACAGATTACAAACGAATCAGAATTATAGATACAATGCACATGCTTCAACTCAGATTCATTTTTCTGTTAAACCATGGATATAGCATTTGTGTTTTCAAAGTAGGGATAATAAAAGGGTGGTGGTTTTTTTTTTCTTGTAGCGCTGAAAAGTGATTCTTAGGGTGTACAAGTGAGGTTCTGCTAAGGGTGATGACAAATGATGCTTTGGACTTTTTCATGCGAAGTTTCTGGCAAAGATGTATCATTGTTTAGTCTGAGGTGGAAGGGATACCTTGTAGTGAACTGTGGAATGACAGTTTTCTAGGGTGCCTTTTGCAATTGTGTTATTTGGGGGGGGGGGGGGGGGTGTGGGGGGCTGTTTTTTTTGTTTTGTTTTGTTTTTTAAATATTGGACCTGTTTCCCCCCCCCCCCCCTCCACTCTTCAGCACCTCCACCCCGGTGTAAAGCGCTGGACCTTTTTTCGGTCTGGTGGAGTGGGAGGGGGCTGCGCCCAGCGCTTCGGGGGGCATGCGGGGGCACACGGGCTCCGCTCCGGCAAAGGCACGGCTCGCCGCCCAGCACCGCAGCGTGTTCGCCCCACCTGCACCCACGGAGAGTAAAAACACCTTGCGAGGGCCGTGCCTCGCCTCCGAGAGCCAGGGTATGCCACCTCGGTTAGACGCTATTGCCTTTTAAAACTTGAGAAGTCACCAGCAGCTGTCAGTGGACGTAAAACTTAGGTGGTTGTTGCAAGTGGTTGTTCCGAGGCAGCTGTAAGAGAAGGCTTTTTGTTTTGAGAAATAAAAGGCCAAATGAGTATTGCTGTAAATTGCCCCAATGGTGGTTGAAACTTGATATAAAATACTTCTGCTGTTATGGTAGAAGGCTTAACGTTCAAACTATGCAACATCTGTATTTGTATCATTTTGAAAATACTCTGGTTTGAACTGTGTTAGCGATAGGAAAATACTTGGAATAATGAGGGAACTATAACAATCAGCCAATTTGCTGATGTATGTATAACAATGAAAGTAGGCAAAACTGGGGCAGATTTTATCTGGTGGTGCTGATCTTGAGGAAGTCTCCGCATCTCCTGAGGTAGACAGTAAGGCTCTTTTTTTTGGAGTGGGAGGGGGGAAATTTTTCAAGGTGTTGGTTTAAATTCTGTGTAATTAAGCTATTAGTATGCGCACGTTTAGCTGTTGAAAATCGCTTCTCCTTGCCTAAGAAAGAGGAAAAGCTGCAATTCAAAAAATGGGTAGCATTTAAAAAAAGAGAGTAAGAATAAATAAATTAATAACGAGTATTCGTGCCATTTCTTAAAAA